CCCCTCGCCCGCCCCCCACTCCCACCCCCGGCCCTTTGTACAGCGATTGCGACAAGCAGGAGCAGAGGGTGAACCGAGCCGAAACCACGGAGAAGAGGGAGCGAGGAGGCTCCGGCGAGCCAGAAGGGAGTGAGGAGGACAGCGAGCCCAGGAGTGGGGTGTTCGCGGCAGAGAAGTGGGGAGACTGGGACACCGAGGCTTGGGGGACGGAGATGAGCATCAGAGTCCTCTGCCCCCGCCCCTCCGCCCCACGCGGTGTTTAGCCGCCGGGGGAGACCCTGCGTCGCTGCGCCTTCAGGGGCCGCTGTTGAGAAGTAGCAAAAGCGAGAAGTGAATAAACCGCAGCCCCGGGCGGGGGCTCCTCGGCTCCCGCGGAGCGGCTGCAGCTGCAGCCGGAGCCACCAGCCGCGCCTCCCTCCCGGGGATCGGCCGCGCTCTCTGACCTCTGTGTTTGTCTCGGCCCCGCGGGCACCCGCAACTGCGCAATCAGCTGGGCGGGGGTCCGGCTCAGGGCCAGCGAGGGCCAGGGCAGGCGTCCTGCCCCGACAGCGGGTTTGCGTGGGGAGGCTAGAGCGCCGGGGGCTGATCCCTCTCTTTCCTGCATCAGTGCGCTGTCCCGATCCCTCCGGGAGCGTGTCCTCCTTTCCCCACCGGAGCCTGGCTTCAGATAGAGGAAATCCTCAGCACGGCCCCCCAGGAAGGACTTCTCCAGAAGAAACAGCCCCAAGTCTCCGAGAATAGGCTGGGGGGTAAAGACGCACTCAGGTGCCCTACGAGGGGTCTATCATCCTGCGATGGGGCCGAGGCAGGGGATAGATTGCAGGCCCTTCATCAGTTCAATAACTGGCAATTACTGGGGAACGGGAGAAGGCTAAGAAACCCCCTTGTAAGTAGGATGTGGGAGGCGTTCTCGCTCTATTTCGAAGTTTTGGGCTGGGCATCTCAACCCTCACTCTCCACTCAGGTTCCCGCCTTTCCTCAAAATCCTGCGCTGAGCCAAGAAGGGCACCGAAGAGAGGGCAGCAGAGCCGGCGCCCCAGTGCGTCCCCTGGGCACACGCTGGCCACTGTTCAGCGAACGATGAGAGCGGAGGCGGACACGGGGAACAAAGCAGCCCCCGGTCCGACTCCAGCTTCCCGGGACTTCTGGGCCTGGGGAGGATGGAGGCCTGAGACACCCCGAGACTCCTCTGGGTTCGGGCCTTATTTGCGAGGGCAGGAGAAGGATGGGCTGAAGGTGAGGCTCTAGAGCGGGGACCCTCCTCCTGCCGCAGCTCGGATTTCGTGATTCTGCCCCTCTTCTAGTTGCAGGTCACACTGACGAGTCTGAAGCAGTTTTAACGGAGGAGGGCCACCCGGTCCACAGGGCTCCCATTTCCCGCCCTTCGCCCTGCTCCATGATCCCACCCAGGCGCTGCAGCTGCGCTCTGCAGGCCGCGGAAACCCGCTGGGACGAATGCCCGGGCGAAGGAGCTGGTCCCCGCCTGCCTTGCAGAGCGGTGCGCTTGGGCCGGCCTCACACACAAAACTTTTCCGGCTTGGAGTTTAGGGCGCGTGCGCGCACGGCCCTCAGCCGTGGGCGGGCATTGGGGCGGGGCAAGGCGAGGCGCGCGCAAGCCTGGGGCGTCGGGGCGCGCGGTCTGGGGTGGTGGGGGCGGAACGGCGAGCGCGAGTCCGGGGTCTACGTGAGCGCGCGGGCGGCGCTGGGGCGCGGGGGCAGGCGGGGTGGCGCGCGCTCCCTCGCTTGCGGGGCAGCGGGGCGGGCGCCGATGGCGCCTCCTCCGCCTTCGCCGCAGCTGCTTCTCCTGGCAGCCCTGGCCGGGCTCCTGGGTCCCGGCGAGGTAAGGCGACCCGCGCCAGAGAAGGCTGCGGCATGGGATCTCAAAGCGCTTTGCCGAAAGTTCGTCCTGGAAGGAGTGGCACGCGGGGAGGGGACTAGGAGTCCTCCCCTGGCGGGCTGGGCCTGGGGAGGGAGAGGGCAGGGCCGCGCCGAGGCCAGCGCTCCAGCTCTTCTGCGCCTTGGACTCACAGGTGGTGGCTGAGCCGACGGAGGAGGCGGGAGCCCGTTGTCCCGAGGGCCTGTGGCCTCTCCCCCCACAGGTAGGAGCCTGGAGGGCGGCGGGAGAGAGGTGTGAGGGTAGCCCGGCGGTCCCGCTCTGGCCTCGCCGCACCCGCCAGTCACCCTCTGAGGACCTCTGCCGGTTCCTCCGGCCCTCAGTCGCCAACGTCTCCATCCCAGCCTGGCGGCCTAGGGCCTGCTGTCCCCTCACCTCTCCCGCACGGAGTCCCCCAGCTGCTCTAAGCTCTCTTCCTTCCCCATGTATAGGTGTCACCAAGAGTGACCTACACACGGATGAGCCCACAGCAGGTAAGTCCCAGCAGGGAGCCATGCTGGTGTCTGCACTGGAACCAGCGCGCACCTTGCCGGCTTTCTCCGCCTTTTCTGCCCACCGGCTCCATTCCTTACGGCTGCCCTCAGGAAGAGGCAGTGTTCTTCGTCCCAGGACAGTGAGCCTCAGGCCTCTGTCGTCCGCCGTGCTGTGTCAGGAATGCTGTTGAGTAGCTGCCTGTGTGGGCAGGAGGTTGCAAGGGAACTTTGACGATAGTAGAAGGAAACAACCCATGTCCCACCTCTGCTGTGTGACTGTGGGAAGTCTCTGGAGCTCTCTGGGCCCCATTTTTTTGTAAGAGAGGATATCAGTAATGTCCCTACCCACCAAGAGTAAACAAATTGTTTGTGACAGCACTTTCAAAAGTAGGAAGCTGCATGGTGTAAGGAGTGTGCCTCAGGTTACCAGGCTCCAAACTGGGGTTCACCTTGCATGGCTGCCTCTCTGTTTTCGTTGCCACTGGTCACATAGCCTCCCTGTCTGTTTGGTTTTCTTTTTAAAATATCTATCTTTTTTTGATTATTGTAGGCCAAGAGACCTCATGTCACCTACCTGATTCCTTTCCTCAAACAGCCCTTTCATTAAATCGTTCCACTGTCAGAAACCTTAAATGGCTCCTTATTTCCCACCTTGTCATGGCCATACCCCTGCCAGCTTTTCAGGCCCTGCTTAGTTAAATAAGCCTCGTCTGACCTCTCCAGATCTGTGCTTCCTCTCCAGCCGTGCTCACCACACATGAGGGCCGGGCTCATTCCCACTGCTGTACCTTTGCTCCTGCTGCTTCTCCTCCACACCTGGCCTATCCTGAGCTGAAGGTGAAGGGGGCAGCTCCCTGCCCTCCTGCCGTCCACCGCTATCCGTCTTCAGAGCCCAGTGCAGGAGTCAGCTCTCTCTTGAGACCTTGCCTGATCATGCAGCCCTTATTCATCACCTTCTCCAAATTCATATAATGCTTCTAACTTATCTCTTATAATTTAATAGTCACTTTGAGTTTTATTAGTTTGCTCTTTTAGTTGAATTAGTTCTGTGTCCCTACGTTTCCTTTATATTCTCTGCAAGCAGAGTCTAGGAGTTCTCTTTTGGTGTCTCCTACAGTATCTGGCACAGTGCTGAGCATCAGGTCAGCTCAATCAAAGGATAATTAATAATCGATGAAGTATTTCCATCCTGTGATTGGCACCTGCTGCCTGTGTGCCCCATATTTGGATGCTGTGGGAGATTGAATATATAGATAGGATCAATACACAGACGGCCTGGTCTCCATTTGGGGGTTGCTCACAGTCTAGACTGGGGACCTGTAAAGCCATCGTTGCAGGTGCAGAGAAATACAGCTAGAGTGTGGTCTGAGTAGGACAGGGTTAACCAGGCATGCTGCCATGGAAGCTGTGAGGTTTGAAGGGTGGCGTTTGATGGAGAGGAGGGGTGAAAGAAACACTCAGAGGCAAGAGGGAACTCACATCAGTACCCAGGCTCCTGTCCTTTCCTGAGCCCTGAAGGTGGAAGGGTCATCCAGTCATCCTGGGAGTCCCTTTAAGCTGGCCTCTAAGATGGGAGAACCTGGGATTCTCAGTGAAGGATCTGGGCCTAGCTCGATATCTCCATGCCTTTCCTCCAGGCTGAGGGTGTCAGCTTCCTCTACCACCCCTGTGCCCACCCCTGGCTGAAGCTCCAGCTTGCCCTCCTGGCCCATGTTTTTGTGGCCCAGCCCTCCCTGGCCCCTGACTCCAGCCTTACTCAGGATCGGGTAAGTGGTTAATGAAAGGTGGTTGTCTGGCACTGGCAGAGCCTGCAGGCTCATGTGCAGGGAAAGGAATATTCAGGGGTTTCCTCTTGCTTGCTCCCCACTTTTGTCTTAGCTCTAACAGTTCCTCCTTTCATAGCCCCTGGTGCTGGCAGCATGGGGGGTGGCACTGGAGATGGCATGGGTAGAACCAGCCTGGGCTGCCCACTGGCTGAAGAGGAGGCGGCGGAGGAAGCAGAGGAAGGCATGGTTTCGCTCTGACAGCCTTTCTGGGCCCTCTCCCCTGGTGCCAACCCCTGGCAGAGGGAGGCTGTGCCGGAGAGGGTGTGTGCAGGTGAGAGGTGCTGGGCCGAGGCCTGGTTGGTGGTGGGGTCACTGGGTTATCTAGGAAGAGAAAGGGTGACTGCTGTCACTTCTCCCCTTAGGCCCCGGCTTTGGCCTTTACTCTGCGGAGCTGGCAGACCCCAGGTGCAGAGGTGGCATCTAGAGGGCCCAGGCAGCTCTCTCCTGGTGGTGCCAAGAGGCGTGGTCTGCGGGCTGCCCTGGGTCTCCAGCCCACCCCCTCAGTCCTGAGGTTCCCCTCTGCTTTCCCACAGAGCTTTGAGGCCAAGCAGCCCATGTTGGGAACCCTGGGTGAGAGGGGTAGTGCCCCATCTGTGCCCACTGCCCCCCTGCTGCCTGGGGGGCCTAAAGGCAATGCCAGCTCCAGGATAGAGGCTCAGCTGCCCAAAGGGCAAAGCAGCCCAGGGGGCTGTGCCTGTCCAAGTCAGGCTTCCCCCGCCCCTCGGGCAGCAGCTCCTCCTCGGGCAGCCCGGGGCCCCACGCCGCGCACGGAGGAGGCCGCCTGGGCTGCCATGGCCCTGACCTTCCTGTTGGTGCTGCTCACCCTGGCCACGCTCTGCACTCGGCTGCACCGAAACTTCCGACGCGGGGAGAGCATCTATTGGGAGCCCACGGCGGACAGCCAGGACACAGTGGCGGGTGAGAAGTTCCCCTCCTCCCACCCCCAGCCCCGCCCCCTATGGCTTCCCCGCCCTTGACTGCTCCCCACCCTGCCCACAGCCGTGCTGAAGCGGAGGCTGCTGATGCCCCCGCGCCGGGTCAAGCGCTCCCGCCGGAGACCCCTCCTCCCGCCCACGCCGGACAGCGGCCCAGATGGGGACAGCTCCAACTGACTTGCCCCAGCCCTGCCACTGTGGCAGCCCGGGCTCCCCCTCCCGCCGGGAGGCCGCGACCTCTGCCACGTGGACCGCGCGCGGGGCCGCCCCCTCGTGGCCAGATGGAGCAGTCCTCCCTAAGCGCTGCGAAGGGCCCTGTCATCCTCAACGTGTGGTTTGCGGGAGGGGTGGCCCAGGGGAGCAAAAGGTGTGGTTTCAGCCTCCCTTGTATTTCTAATTAAATTATTTTAGTAGAGTCTGGAGATGAGCTTGTGCATCTGCCACACAGACACACTCACTCCCACCCAGGACATTGTCCTAGGCCATTTAGGTTGTATTTGATATGGTGGTGGTGGGGTCTATCAAGTCCAGTTGGGTACCCTCCAGCCTGCCTCCTCTTGCCAACCTGGCCTTACCCGGGGTTTTACGAGTGTGATAGACCCCTCCTGCCACCATGGCGGGGAATAGTGGTGTGAGTTACTGAAACATTGTTATTCACAAGCTCCTTTTCTAAAAAGACAACACAGGGCTTCCCTTCCCCCCAGGACGGCGTCTGGAGCAGCTGTAGTCTGCATTTGCTTCATACTCTTGCCTGGTTTGTCTTTCTCTCTTTGGTGTCTGCCATCTCCCCCAACCCTTCCTCAATTCTCTATGCATCAGAAACAGCACATGGTCACTTATTTATTTTTGATACAAATGTACATGACACACGTCTTGACAGTCAGCCCACCCACCACCACACAGGTAGAGCCTGGCCCACTGGCACAGAAGCAGGATGGGGAGAAGAGCTGGTAGGCGCTGCTATCTGCCTCTCCAGCCTTCCCAGGCTGCAGCCCAGGTTCCAGGTCCCCAGAGACCCTAGGCACAGGCACTGGCCTCTCAGAGGTTTCGGGGAGGGGCTATCAGCTGAGTTGGGGACCCCGGGGAGCCAGCCCCAGGCTCAGGTGCTCAGTTCTCCGCCCCAGCCAGCACATTCCCCCTCCACAAGGGAAGGGGAGGAGAGACGGAGGGAAGTGGTTTTCATTTTAAGTTCATAGAGAAGGGGTACAAGTCGGGGGGTGGGGGGTGATGAGGGGAGGCAGCGGGTAGGACCCTAGCCGGTTACCCCATAGTCCCTGGCCCCAGGATGGGGGGGGCGGGGCTGACCCCCAACACTGGTCCTGCTGTTCTGGTCCCCTCATCCCTCACAAAACTCCAGATAGGCCAGGCCTCCGGAACGGCACTGCCGCCCCGCACACTCACACGCAGGCACGCAGGGACACTCAGTTACCACAACGTTAAAATTAAGGGGTGGAAGAGAGGAGAGAAAAAAAAAGATGTTCCAGTGTTTGCTGTTGGGGACCCTGGGAACACAGGTTGGGGCCTGTGCCCTAGGCAGGGGCCGTTTGGCATTAAAGGAGAGCAGCAGGGGGGCTGGTGGCTACAGGGCGGGGACATCCACAGAGATTATGTACAAAGGAGGGGGATGCCCCCGCTCAGCCCCCAACAGGGCTGAACTGGCTCATGGGGGTGGGGTGCATGTAGGGAGAACCACCCCACTTGGAGTGTCCCCACCCGACCCTTTGCTGAGGGTGCCCCGGAGGGCAAGGAGCTGGGAGTGATGCCTTACAGGCCCCTGCACGCTAGAAGGGGAAGGGATGCTATGTACAGGGGGAGGTGCATGGAATGTGGGGGACAGAAGGTCCTGCCACCCCACCTCCCCATGGGGGCGGGGGGTGGGGGCAGGCACCAGGGTGCCTGGCTGCCAGGGGAGTGGCAGCACTAAGGGCACTTGGGCCGGCGGCTCTGTTGGGGTGGGGATTAGTGTCTGGAGTGGCCCAGCTCCCATGGCCGGTGAGGTCCCAGGGTGCGGGTGAGGGTGCAGGGAGAGTGGTCACTGCTTCTTCTCGCGGGTGGTGATGGTGACCAGCTGCTTGGCAGCCTTGGCAATGTCGTAGGCACACTGGATCACCTGCTGAGTCAGCAGCTGGAAGTCCACAGGGGCGCCAGGCTCCGGGGGCACCGTCTTCCGGCACTCGCTCTGCAGCCGGTAGGCGCTGGCATTGAGCAGCCGCAGGGAGCTGCGCACAGGCTCCAGGGCTGGCCTCTGGAGGGAAGGAGGAGGGCCTTGGACTTCAAACCATGAGCCATGATCAGGGCCCAGTGTGTCCATGTCTCCATCCAGGTAGCAGTCAGATTATCTATACCTGCCCCACCCTGAGGCCCTCCCAATCCTGCTCCTCTCTCTAGCCCCTGTACCTTTGGGAAGAGAGAGGCCATCTCGGTCACAGCCAAATGGATCTTCTCTGAGCAGGGCACAAAGCTGTGGGGGGAGGGGAGGGCACAAATTAGGGGGGCTCTCAAGGAAGGTTCCCAGGGACCATGGAACACTGGCCTCTCTCTTGCCCTCTACCACACCAGAGGCTGTGCCCCACCCCCATACCTGTCATGCTTGAATTCCTGGGCAGCCCGCAACAATTCCTGAATGTTCTTGGTGACCTGCTCTGTCTTCAGGATGACATCCTCTGTGCTGGGAAGCCCAGGGTCGAGGTCTCCATCCAGGCTTTCCAACTCGGGGTGGAAGTCATCCTCCTTGCCCAGCTCTAGAAACCTCTTTCCTTCCAGTCTGAGGCCCGGGGTTGGAAAGAGAGACATTCCAGCCGTGAAGCCGCTTGCCTGAGCCCTTGCAGAGACTCCAAGGCCCGCTCAACCTCCTCCCCCCAAGGTGCCTCACCCAAGCAGAGGGTCCCCACTTTGCGTGTTCTCATAGTCGCTGTCGGCACCGCTGCCGTGACGGGAAAGCTTGCTCTGGAGGGTCAGGGAATGGGGGTGGTAGGTGAGGTGCACATTCACGGACCTTCACAGCCCCCATCACCTCCCATCCACACATCTCGTGTAGCCCATCCCTTGGGCACTGGGGATGGGAACATTACCGTGTGGCGGCTCCCTTCCTGGGAGCACGACAGCAGTGGGGAGGAGGGAGTGAAGGGCACAGCTGAGGCCGACACCCCCTTCCGGATCTGAAACCCAGGAGGGCTGGAGTCAGGGAGTCTCCTCCTCCCTGCCACCCGCCTTCCCCACAGTGAGGGGGGTACCGTGTACGTCTAGTCATCCCTGTGCCCAGCATCCAGCCCAAAGCCTGGCATGCACTGGGGCTCAGAACCTATTTGCAGAAACAGACCCATCTCCCCCAGTCCCTGCTTACCCGGTAAAGGCCAGCAGGGACATGCACTGAATAGACGGCGTCATCCTCCAGCTCCTGAGGGTCAGCACAGGGGGCATCATGGAGGGCCCTGTGGCAGCCCCAACTTTTTGTTTCCCCACCCCCTTGAGGCCCGCAGGCAACTCACAGTGCTGTGGAAAGGCTGCAGTCGGGTGGTGAGCTCGTCCCCAGGCGGGCCCCCAAAGGGCTTCAGGGCAGAACCTGGTTCGTACATGGAGAAGGCCTGGCGGTCCCTGCGGTGGGCACTCCCGCCAGGCCCCATGGACGTGTGTTCTGCCCGTTCGGTGGGGAGTGGGGGTGTGGGCACTGGCCCTGGCGGCTGCCGGATCTGCAAGTTCTCTGCCTGCAGCTTATGGATCTGAGAGTGCAGAGCAGTGTCAGAAACCCTGGAGGGTCCAGGCAGCACCCTCACCTCTGGGAGGGGGTGATTCTCCTCCACCAGGGCTCTGGGAGCGCCCCCACTCCCACCGAGGCTGCAGCCCTCACCTCTCTCTGCAGCCTCCGGAGCTCGTCACTCAAGCTGCTGTTGACCTTCATGAGCTGCTGCACCTTTGCCTCGGAGGTGGCCAGGGCCTTCTTCAGCTCCAGGTACTCCTGCAGCGTCACGGCCCCATCGGACAGGTCTGAGGAGTCCATGCTCTGCAGAGTGAGACATAAGGTGGTCAGCCATCAGGGGCAGGGGATGGATGCCCTCAGAGGGCTGCTCTCGAGGCTGTGACTAGCCCACTTGTCCCCAAGCTACAAGAGGATAGAGCTGGGCCTTGATGGAGGCCAAGGGAGGGTCCGGGGAGGGGCAGACCCGGGCACGGTTGTTCCGAGTGGCGCCGGCACTACGCAGGGGCTCCTGGTCTGTGTCCTCGTCGGAGGCCACGCTGTCGTAGTCGTGCTGGTCGTCGAGGTCACTCTGGCTCCGCGCAGACAGCTCAAGGTTGTCTGAGGGCACAAGCCTGTCACTCAGGGCTCAGCAACACAACCCGTCTATCATGCCACCTCCGAGAGGGAGCCATGAAAGAGAACATCCCCGAACAGTGCCCACTGCCCGCACCCCCATCGCACCCTTCCCACCTGTGGGGCTGCTCAGGCTCTTGCCCTGTTGTCTCCGCTTGGCCTCGCTGAGAATGTCGATGATCAAGGTGGCAAACTCTCGGGCATTAAAACGGGCCAACTTCTGTCGCCCCTGTGAGGCAGAAAGGGCCAGGCCAGCATGAGGCGGCCCCTTATGGCTGACACATGGGGGTGGGACAAAGTGGTAAGCCACCCCCTGCCCTCTGATTTAACCACAGCTAAAATGTGCCAGCCTGCTCACCTGGCCAGGGCAGGGGTGGGAGATGACACAGACTCAGGGTGCGTAGGGGAGCTCTCAGGAAGAGGCTGGAACACTCCCCAGAGGCTGCTCACCAAGTGCTCAAAAGAGCAGCCTCTTCCCTATTTCCAAATCCCAGTGCCAGCCAGGCCCTGAGGGAGGCCTCGGCCAGGAGTGAAGAAGAGCGGGCCCAGGCCCTGGCCCAAACAATCGCTGCCGAGGAAGGGCAGGGCCCACAGTGTTGGCGACCCCAAGAGGGGAGGAAACCACCCAGGCCCCCCATCCAGCCCCCTCACCTGATTCCGTGTGGCTGAGTACTCAGGGTTAACAGGCAGGAAGGGCACAGCACTTCGCTCCGTCACCAGGGTGCTGTGGTTTTGGGTAGCCAGCCACACTGTGGGGGAGGGGCAGGGAGCAGATTGTCCACGGTGGCCAGGCCCACAGGATGGACATGGGGAAGGGCTAAGCACAGCCTTCCAGCTCCTCCCCACACCCACCAAACGTTGGTGTTAAAAACAGGGGTGGTCTTCAGACACGCAAAGCAAGGCTAGGTCAGGGTAAGGCTGGGCGAGGCTGGCTGGTGACTGACGAACAGAACAGAACAAGGCGACTCCCTCCCACCAGCCCCAACCCAGAGTTTGGGTTGGAATCTGGCTGTGGCCAGGAAGGAGTGATGTAGAGGGGCGGAGCAGGACTGGGGAGAGAGCCAAAGTGGGAGGCAGCCAGAGCAGAGAGGAGCCCCACTTGGGGG